GTAGCAACAACGGTCGGGAGACTATAATTTATGGACGAACGAATCACGTAAAAGATAACAGGTCTCGGATTTTGGCATGATATATATTCATTCATTTGAGTAAATGGGATTTCGGCATTAGAGATTATGTCAGTTCGTGGTGAAAACCCTAAATCTAATTCCTAACTTTAACCATCAACTGCAAATCATAATTCTACTTCCTCACACTGGTTCATAAGACTCATTTGGTCCTGGTTATTAAGTGGACACTCTCAAGGTCACTTCAGCGTCGATCAGAAGTCATCCGCAAATTATAGTCTCTCCATCAAGTTCATACTAGACTAGGAATTGTGTGTTTCAAAAATGAATATCGTAATCAGTGTCATAGTACAAATTTGTTATCATTTGTTGGCCGTAAAGTAGTTGGTTATCTACCGTATGCAATGGAAGGTGGTCTCACAATATCGTCAAAAGATTGAAGATAGGCACATACGTTGATGGATGTTGGCCTGATGGTTTAGAAGTCAAGGATTTGGGGCAAGGTAGGAGGCCCTGCGTTTAATTCCTTATAGTGTGATCGCAGATGTACATCGTTGGGCAGTCACACACTCGATTCAAGGTAAGTCGTAACAAAGAAAAATAAAATACACAAAAACAATGTGATAACCACTCGGTATAATGAATTGGCCATTAACAGAGCATTTTATGCAGCTCAAGTTGTCATTATTGAAAAGCCAAGGTATACGTTTCACCAAAAACCCAAACAGTACGTAAGTGATTGTGTCACATCCCACTGTTTATCAATTCACATATATGTGCAGAAGCACGTACATAGTGAGGAGCAACCGTGATCCGCAAGTAAGGGTGGCGGAATACACACTCAAATAGTTGCAGAAACAAATGAATTCCAACAGTCGAATAAGATAACCGGGTAGACAGACATCTTCCTCAATTGCGAAATATTTGGTTGGGTCTGGTCATAAGGTTGATATCAAGTCAGACTTTGTAGTGTTGTACAAAAGCCTATACTAAGGTTTAATGAAGCCTTGGCTATACGGAATCTGAAACTCCCTTTATGTGTTCAAAAATAATTTATTCCTACCCTTAGCCTACCCTGGTAATAATGGTTTATTATGCAGAGTGGTTATCACATTGTTTTTGTGTACTTTATTTTTCTTTGTTACGACTTACATTCAATCTGTCTAGTTGACCTTTGAGTTTTCATACAAAAATGTCTTGACAAGTATATGTGTGATCAGATTGTTCGAAATGTATTGCGCAAATATATCACATCATTCTGATAATCTTTACTACTATTATTATTATTATTATTATTATTATTATTAGTGGCTTTATTCAATATTTGATTTTTCGTACAATATTGAATTCCTAGTACAAAGTACTTCGACAAGTTCCCATTTCTTATTTCTTGATCGATACTGACGATAAATATTTGAGTGGTCGCCAGTTAGATGTTAGCAGTTTACGAATCCACATCTAAATAATGTGTATTCTTTTCGATGTATATTGCCAGCAATCACAATATTTCTGATTGTGCTCTTTCTTAACTTGTACAGTGAAAGGTTTTGAACTTTTCACAAACGTATCTGAATAGTTTGTGCAATTAATTGACATAGTGATCTGTTGAAACAAACAAAAGTTAGATAAGTTGTTAAAATATCTAAATGGCAGGCAACAGGTAGCCTATATATTCAAGCAGGCTGCCTCTATCATAACAATCGTCTTCTCATTGTATTATCGAAATTTATCAAAGGGACTAATTGTTTCAAAAGTCTCATGCTAGAAAAAAGTAGCTGGCCGATGTTCCATGGTTCTAAATAGTGGTCTAGCTAAGATCATTTTTGTGATTTGTACTATGATGATTATTTTTATTGATGAGTTTTTTCCGTTTTAGATTTTTTAATAACAGAGCAAAATCTTAGACTTTTTCTAATAAAAATCCTGATAAGGAAATCATGAAAATTGAGATTGAATGTAGTCAGTTGCATAAATATTTATTGTGAGGACGGCCCATGGATAAACTCGAGGAAGTTCTAAGAAACTTATAAAGAACTGAAGACATTTCATCTAGTCATCTTTTGGAAGAACATTCCCCATTGGACAAATGCTAAAAACCATTGTATGCTGATTGGATGACTATAATGGTGAATTTATTTCGACTAAAAACGATAAATGCCTGAGAGTGTTGAACCATATTTGACACTGTTTAGAATAGCATTCCTTCTCACAAGTCTTTTGTTTTCTCATTTGCGACTTGGAGGCTTCTAGCGTTCGGGGGCTTAAGTTGTACGCGATATATCAAGAATCTAAGCTTTAGATATAACATCTATCAAACATGTTCAACTTATCTAGGAAGTATTCAGGTGATTAAAAATATAATAATGACTTTAATACACTAGAATTTACAAATAAAGTAATCGTATCTTTTTGATAATAATAAGATTCTTCAGTTTCGTCTATGAAAAAAAAGATTTCTTGAATTTATCTCATAAGTAATCCGATATATAAATTATTTTAAGTTTCATATTCATTCATCTACTCATCAGATCAAATTAACCTCTTCCATCAATTATCATTCTAAGGCGAGTAAATCATGAATAAAATTAACTAAAAACTGAATGGAGCCTTACAAATCATAGTCCTAGCTGAGAAAATGGCTTTATTATGTTCAATGCTATATTCAGTAATGCAAACGAAAGTAGATAAATATCCATCATATGTCACCTTCAACTCTGTAAATTAATTTATATGTATGTTCTGACTCATATATGTTGAAAGGAGAGGAAGATAAAGATTCTACTCTGTTAATTGAACATATTCTCAAGGACCTACACCTTCAAGGAGAAAAATGATTCCTATTTCGATCGCTAAACACGGGACACGAAGCAGACTCAACAATTCTGTTTAAGATATTCAACTTGAGTAGGATTAAATATCTGTCAACAGTATACCCAAGAATATGTCTAAATGGTTCTAGGATAAAGTATACTATTCATTATACATCGATCATTAATTTTAACCTAGAAAGTTCAAATTGATTTGAGCTTCTATTAGAAATTTAGGACATTTCACGGGTGAACTGAAATTTAAATTCTTAAATCATCTAAGTATCAATATGTTGAAATAAATAACTAAAGTGAAATTAAGTTAATTAGAGTCGAATTAGCTTACTAGTCTACAGTATAATTGAATATAAGTAATAAAGTAGTAAATGACATCTATTAAAAAGAAAAGGAAATGATCTATTCAGTCACCCATAACAAATTTTAACATAGTATCTGTCAACTTATCTAGGGCAAGTTTAATATCCTTGTTTATTTGATTTCTATTTTAATGGAAGGCAATTTACTGATAATGGTTTCTGATGTAAGAATTCAAAGCTCATCAATTGTATACCTTTTTACTTGTATCTAATTTTAGATTATTTAGATTATGAAATTATTAACCTCAAGTTGTTCTTCTTTTAGGTTGATATTTAAGGAGAAATTAATGTGTCAGATTAAAATGATTTAAAGTTCTCAATGTTTGTGTATTTCTTTTTGTGCTTTATTAATACTTACTACTTATTAATAGTGAGTAATTCAAGTTCATTTCGATATTTCTATGTTTTGTACTGGATGAACTAATCAGATTTAGGATAGCTAAATAGCAGCTTGATATTTTAGCTAATGTCAATTTGTGATGAAAACCCTAAATCTAATCCCTATCTTTCACCATCAAGTGTAAATCACAATCCTTATCCTTCACACACTTTTAAAACCCTCGTTTAGCCCTAATCAGTAGGTGGACTACTTTAGCGTTGCCCGAAGGCCAACCATAAATTATAACCCCAAACAGACCAATAACTACACCGATATATATATATATATCTATGTTCGGTCGATTGTTATATTTGGAGTTTCAATTTTCTTTATTCACTAGGTTTCTCTGTTCAGAATATTTAATTAATCTTTATTTATCTTGAACGAATTCTTTGATTTTTTTGAAATTCAGTACCTTTTTTGATTTTCACTATTTATTGATATTACTGTTTGGAAAGCGGTACATTGTATCTGACTTATTGTATGCTTTTTGACTTTCTATTGTTTGACTGGTTGAAGGACACAACTTTATCCTGATTAATGTTGTAATTAATCCCCATACACTGTGATTCAAGTTTTCTACTACTTATTGTTTAGACAGATTACTGAACAATATCGAGAATCGGTTGAAGTTAAGTATATAAACCATCGAAAGTTAGCTTAGTGGTTGAAATATTAAGCTCTTGCTTTGATACCTGAAATTTGAAGATTCTATTCAAGGTATTGTCATGATCATTGACTGTTGGAAAATTCTACTTCAGGATAAAATAACTGTCCTGTGTTTACTGTTTCCAGTGGTTTTCCAATTCGTGTCGGTATATGTTACTAACAACGCACCTTATATTTTGTTTTCAATAACAGTACTGTAATTTGAGACAAGCCCAGTCATTTGATTTCAAAAATGGCATATAAAACTTCATTGTTTCGCTATATATAATTATTATATATGTGTGGGGTTTGTCTAATCCTTAATGATGATCTAATTTTGTTTTTTAAAGATATACTATGGTTATTATTCTAACTAACCCAAGAGCATTTGTCTTTTATTTTCCTGCCGAATTTTTTTATTTTGACTTCGTCGGATTTTGGTCAAAGTGGTACTTATCGAGTGTGGCTTGAAATTTTTTTTGAAGAGTTACCAAGTTCAGAAGGGATTTTTGTGGATGTGATAGTAGATTTAAAATTTGACGTCATGAGTCAATTAAAGCCAAACCACCAGCGAAAACCTGGAAGCACTGAACGTCTGTTTCGTCCTATTACATGACTCCTCAGCAGTGTGCGTCTCGCAAAATTCAAACCCAGGACCTATCAGTCTCATGCGTGAACGCCTAACCTCTAAACCAATAAGCCGACATCCAACGGTGTTAGTGTTTAACTTCAACTAGTCTATAAAATTGAGTTATAGTCAAAAGTTACCATCAAAAGAAATGTAAGTTTGCAATTTTAAACCCTGAAAACTGTAATACAAGGTTTTTGTGTGGAAATAAAATCGTAAATGTTATGAAATTATAATTGAATGGAAACACCTGTTAATAGAACAGAAATTCAATTGTCTGTTCTGCAAAAAATATGATGAACTGTAATGATTATGTTTTACGCACAAATTATTATAGCACAGAAAAGAAAGCAAATGTGAAACATCACACAAAATGAGATACTGTCGTATCATGCTACTGAATAATTACAAGTAGATAAATAACATTGAATTATATTTTCAAACTTTGGTCATCGGATAAATATGATAAGGAAATTAATTATCGTCGCATTTTGTAGATTGTAAATTTGAGTCAGGCTTATCTGATGAAGTAGCTTTCAGTTTTTCTGGTCTAATCCAATTACGAAAATTTCGATTAGTACCACTTGTATTACTGGTACTTAACGTGAAAATACTTGTCCATTCACATGTTGTCATTGCTTTTCTTTTCATATTGCTAGTAGTTGTAAATGTGAGAGCAGCTCCTTGAGCACTACTAACTAAGCTAGCTGCACGTCCAATTAATGGAACATCAGGTAAAAGACTGGCTAAAATTTGAAATATCCATACAATTCCTAAAATAATGGATAGATTAAAACATATTTTCAACATTTTTCTACTTTGTTTCGGAAAATCATTTGTGCCTGATTCACTTCCCATACCTGTTGATACATTTAATTCATTTTGACTGAGAAACCATATGTGAGTTCCAACAATGATCAATACAAGACAGTTGAATGCTAATAAAACTGTAGTTGGCGCCAGAAACCATAAGAAAAATGCTTCATTTATTGTAAACCATGGTCTTCTACAATCCTCTGGTGGACAAAATCCTGGTGTCAAATAACTTAATATTTTTTGACTTTTTGTACATATTGATTCATCTACTTCATTATTCAACATTTTAGCAACATGCTGTTCATGTATACATTCATTTGGATAAGTTTTCTCATTGATGACAATAGCCGGTATCACAAAACAGAACGGTAATATGGTTGATAGTAAAGAAGAAAAGACGATACTTTTCGTTGAATCGGGACCAGTACGTTTCGCTGATTGAATGACCATACTCTAAGAGAGAATAAGAGAAAATTTCAATAACAGTTTAGAATTTATAACGACAAATTATAAGTATTCAGTTGTATTTTTCTAGGTTGTTCATGCTCAATGTAAATAAGTAGCTTGTATTTGAAATTCATCCTAAATGTTTGAAATTCAAAATTAACGATTAAAATAATGAAAACAGAATACATTCTAGCTGTTCTACTAAGTAACAAACTTTTCAATCTCATGGAGAACATCAGCTTCCTGTAAATTGAAGATATACTTATCTAATGAGCTCCAACATGAGATGTAGGTCTTGGACTTTCTACTTTACGATTTAAACAGCCTAACATCCACAATAATTTTAAAAAAACTGATTACAGCATTCCAACTATTTCATGATGTTTGAAAACTGATCTTATCATGCGGAATGTTTTGTGAACTTGAAAATAACCAAAATCTACTCCCTATTTATTTTTCCCTAAATTTGTGACCGTGACTGAATCAGCTCAAATAATGAGTATCGTTTACATATTTGGATTTCGGAATCAAATAATGTGGTTTACATGAAACATTGGTACATAACTTATCATATGACTTAGTAATATATTGTGTATCACAAAGATGTATAAGAATTACTCAGGATTATACGGAATAAACGTCCTGGATTCCACTGCTAGTCACTATCCATCTTTGCCTATAAAAGCTTGTGACTTAAGACAATATCGAGATAATCCGCACAGAATGCACGTATGCCAACAAGAGACTGATCAATTGCAATCCTAAACAACAATCGAATGATACAAGCAAATAACATTAAATGAAAGTCATTGTTTGAATATTTATCGGGACAATTGCATTGTATTTAAATTTAACATGATTTGGTTGTTATCACATAATTAACTAAGTGTCTCAATTTCCTCAAAGGTAACACCATTGTATTAAAAGCTGGATGAACTGGTTATACTAAAGAGTGGAATATTAGGTGAATGGCCAAGTCCAAAGTTTTACTAATTTCAAACGATCATTCACACATTACTGAAAAAACTTTCTTATTGTTTCAGACTAGAATAAATAAAGAATGATTGTCTCAAAATTTTTCGGACTTGTTACCAGTGAATAGCAGAAAAAAGCTTAAAAGCTTAATCTTCATGTTTATGTACTGGCTGTATAGACAGAAACATGATCCAACATATTATATCCATTGGTTTCTGTAATACATTCATAATAAAAACAAAAGAACAAGTAAGAAAGTTGAATAAAAGTTTAATGTTGACAAACAAGTGTAAAACTGCTCAGTCCGAATGTAACAAAGACAAGGAATTTAAATTTCTTAAAAATTGTGTGATCTAAGTACCTGTATGGATCTTTTAATGCTGAAGTGAACCTGCACGAACTAGATAAACCGAACGACTGGCACAACAATTCAACAGCAGTTCTTAACGCGACTGATGTCAGAAAGAATTCGGTAATCAAGAAGTTTGGTACCTAAGTAAAAAAGCTGTAGTAGGACAACTCTGTATATATAGCAACAAAACATGACATTGAGACATAGTGAAATTAACAAACTAATCATGAGAAAAATCGGTTAAACGATATCAAAGTTCAGTGAGGATATGTTAATTAATAAAACGTTGTCATTGTTATCTTTTACGAAAGAATTAACATTTGTCAAGGGAAAACCTAGGTAATCTGAGGTCTTCTCAACAGGAGGAATAACCATCTACCTTTCTTAAATATAATTTTTAGTCGAAGGAATGATCAGATCTAATTATATAAAGTTTCTTAGATATTATGAACCTTTAGTTTACTTAGTTTCCATTAAATACAATAGAAACTGAACATTATATATATATTTAATAACTTAGTTCTAGTTTTGTATAACTTAGCAGTATTCAGAAGAGAGAAAAGTTTGAACTTACTGCTTTTTAAACAAGAAATGTATATTTAATTGATAGGAAACAATCAAATGATATTCATTATTCAACTGTTTTTTACATTCATGATATAGAGGGATCACTACTTTATGTTATCATTCCGATGCTGTCTCACTAAATACTTGAATAAATCTATAGATTAATACCTTTTATTGAAACTGCGAATTATTCATTGGGAAATGAGTCACTAATTAGTACTAGTAACAGAATTCGATTGAGGTTATCAACTTAGATGATACATTGAGATAGATACATTGAGACAGGTATTCGTAATCTATATTTTAGGGTGACTGAAAATGTTCTTAATTTATTGCAGATACAAGTGTAAGCAACCAGACACAGAACGCACATTAAAACTATCTAACATGGTCATCTAAGAATAAACTTTATAAGATCATAGAAAAGTAACGTAAATTTTCTAGAAACAACAATTATGTGGAAAAAAAGATGGATCATACACTTACATATTACATAACAATTTATGCATTACATTTACTTTCGTATTAAGAATCTTACTATTAATGTCAAGGTCAATGTAGATAGTATTGATACCTAATTAATTATTCTTATCATTTTTTTTCTGTTCGTTTCTATTGATTCAACTTGGTCATTTTCATTCGTTCACATCTAACCAAAATACTGAATTACTACGTTATCCTTTTATTTTCAATGTTGAATGCTAATGTGTTTGATAATTCAAACAAATATTGTATGCAATAATAGATAGTGGCTAGCAGCGGAATCCAGGACGCGCGTTTCATCCTATTTGGACTCAGTAGCTAAGTGAATAACGCGATGGCGTTTGAAACGAACGGTACTGACTTCGAGCCCCAGAGGGAACATCAACTTTGAGATGCAGGTACATCCCACTGACGAGTCACAAATAAGACGAAACGCACATCCTGGATTCCACTGCTAGTCACTACAATCTTTGCATATAATGCCTGTGAATTAAGGCTATATCAAGGCAATACGCACATTATGCATATATGCCAACAACAGACTGATCCATTGCAGTCCTAAACATCAATGGAAAGATTCAAACAAACAATATCAAGTAAATTCAAAGAGATATTATTATATGCATTTATTTGAATGTCTGTTAGAAACATATCCCTGGTATGTTACATATATTAGACATATCTGTTGACAAATTACATAATCAACCAACATGAACATTTAGTCTAAATAATTTACTACTTCAGATATAAAACATACATCATATTCTACAATGAAAACACTAAAAAAAAGTAATTTCTTTATTCTTATTATTATTAGCTTGATACAATATAGAATTCTCAGCACAAAGTATTTCAACAAGTTTCCGTGTCTTAGTTCTTCATCGATCCTGACGATAAATATTAAGTGATCGCCAGTTAAGATGTTAGCAGTTCAAGGATCTACATCTAAATAATATATATTCTTTTCGCTACATATTGTCATCAGCCACAATATCACTGATTAGACCTTTTGTATTTTGTACAACGAAAGGTTTTAAACACTTCAGAAACGCACCTGAATAGATTATGCAATTAGTAGCCATAATAATGTATTAAAATAAACAAAAATAGATAACTTGTTGAAATATCTAGATGACAAGAAACAAATAGCCCAGATGTTCAAAAAGGCCACCAATTCAATATAACAAAAGTTATTTCTATTCATAAATATGACCATAGCAACAACAACAAAAACATCTATCCATTTTGTTGTAAATTTTAAAAAAATGCACAATAATTATTGATTTTGGCAAACTTTTTTTTTCCTTTTAAGGTAAATTAGCACTTTATATAGAAATTATATAATAATCTTTTTCTGTCTTTAAAATTATACAAAAGTCGATAATGTTATTCAAACAAAGGATATTGTGTACTTTTACAATAATCAGTAGTTAATGTTTCGAAAAAAAGATGTTCGAAACTTATTTAATAAATGAAGTATACGATCGTTTTAATTACATTAATTTAATAGTCCATAATCTGAAGTGTAAATTTATTCACCGGTGTTATTTAGACAGATATGGATTTTCAGAATGAGGATTTGTAATTTAATGGTTGAATTCATGTGTTGATTTAAGCAAGACCACCATGGATAACCTGTAAGCATTGGACTGCTATTTCGTCCTAGTATAGGACTCTTTGGTAGTGTACACAAACAACCCCGCATGCGGGATTTAAACTCGGGGATTATAGTCTCACGCGCGAACGTTTAACCCCTAGACTGAGCAGGTATTCAACAGTGTTAATAAAAATATATAGCCTCAACACTTCATAAACTGATATTAAGACATAACTGCTGAAATATATCTAAACGATTCTGTTAGATGTTTTGGTTGATCCTAGAATAGTGTGGTAGCCGCCTCAGCAGCAGTACGTCTCAATATACACAAATGTAAAAGCAGGATTCTCCGACACAACACTGCATGCACCAATCTAATCACAATTGACGGAGAAGATTTGGAAGATGTAAAAACCTTTACATATATGGGCAGCATCATTGATGAACAGGGTGGATCTGATGCAGATGTGAAGGCAAGGATCGGCAAAGCAAGAGCAACATATTTACAACTGAGGAACATCTGGAACTCAAAGCAACTGTCAACCAACACCAAGGTCAGGATTTCCAATACACATGTCAAGACAGTTCTACTGTATGGCGCAGAAACCTGGAGAACTACGAAAGCCATCATCCAGAAGATGCAGGTGTTTATTAACAGTTGTCTACGCAAAATACTTCGGATCTGTTGGCCTGACACAATTAGCAACAACCTACTGTAAGAGAGAACAAACCAGATCGCAGCGGAGGAAGAAATCAGGAAGAAGAGCTGGAAGTGGATAGGACAGACATTGAGGAAAGCACCCAACTGTGTCACAAGACAAACCCTCACTTGGAATCCTCAAGGTCAATGGGGGTGAAGAGGAAAACCAAAGAACACATTACGCTGAGAAATGGAAATAGACATGAGAAAAATGAACAAGAATTGGATGGGATTAGAAAGGAAGGCCCAGGGCAGAGTGAGTTGGAGAATGCTGGTCGGCGGCCTATGCTCCATTGGGAGTAACAGGCGTAAGTAAGTAAGAATATTATTTG